AGGCACACCTCAGTACTCAAACTGACATCTTGGCTCATCAACACTTTAAAGAGGTATTGTTGAGAACAAACAAGATGGCGGACCAGGTGGAAGTGCAGTGAGGAGCTCCATCAGCAACAACACAGACTACTGGACCAAGCAGGCTCAGGGATGGTCCCAGAACTTTGAATCACATATAAAGGAATATTTAGAAGGTAGGAAGTCTTACAGTTAGGGGAATTTGTAGCAGAAGCAAGAAATCCATTGCTTTCTAATTCAAGATGCTCAGCTGCTCCTGGAGCCATCGTCTTTGGTGAGACAAAGCAGGGGAAGGATCAGAGCAGCCACAATGCCTGACAGAACTGCTAAGATAAAGGTGTGGGCATTCTTTTTTTTTTTTTTGGTATCTGTTCACTGATCTCTCACTATCTGTGCACCTCCATTCTGGTGACTAGAGGGTGTGCCTGAGCAAGTGGACACCTCAGCCACAACCCCTGGAGAATTCTACTATGCATGTGCACAGATCTCCTCAAAATTTAAAGTGACAGTTTCAACTTAAAACCAAATGGCAGTGCAAAACAGCCACAGCCAGGCCAGAACTGTTTATCACTAGGAAAAAGGCCTGAATGGGAATTGTAAAGTGGGACAGGCAGACTAAAAAGGAAATAGGCTGAAAATGAAATCCTGAGTTACATCACAGCGACTAACAGTGGCATCTTGAAATGTCTCAGGAAGAAGAGTGAAAAGGGAATCCCATCTCCTGATCACATCTACCTGGAGGCAATCAGAAAGCATTAAAAAATACCAAAATACACCCCCATCTAAGTATTAAGGCCACAGATAACTCCTGAATATGCTCAAAAAACAGAAGCAGATGACCATATCAGCACATGTCCAGAAATGAGATAAAGTGACTGAGGCAAATGAGCTAGAAGTAGACCTACACTTCATACTGGAAGATGGTCAGGCTTTGGAAATGCCTGAGAAGGAATTCGGAAAAATGATTATAAAATGTATTAAAACATTATACAATGGAGTTGAGAAAAATAAGGAAGAAGTCAGGAAAGTGCTACAGGAACAATCAAATATAATAGATAACAGCATTGGAAACAATTCAAAATGTACAGAAAAAGGTCCAAACGATTAATAACAGATTATCAGAAATGGACAATACACTGAAAAGGCAAAGGAGTCTAATTGAAGAGTTAGAAACCAGAACTAGTGAACTAGAAGATAAACCTCTCAACACTACTAATGTAGAAAAGCAAACACAAAAAGGAAAAAAAAAAAATCTGAAGAAGGCCTAAGATTCATGTTGGAGAACATGAAGAGGAATAACTTAAGAATTATCGGCATTCTGGAACAGGAAGAATCACACAAGTCCACAGAGAAGATAGTTGAAGAACTTGCTAGCAACCACGTTGGTCTACTGGTGAGTGGAAGAGGGGGAAAGACAGCAATGAAGAAATGGGCTGAGTTCAACCACAGACCAATGCCTCCCGTTGACCTGGAGATGAGAGAGAGAAGAGGACGGGCAGGTTGGTACATAGTGTGGTGAGACCTGAGGACACTTGAGCCCATGGACAAGTACATAGCCATAGAGGGCTAGAGCTGAGAGAGAAGCATCTAGCTGATATGACGTGAGGGAAGATGCACAAAAACACCCAAACTTGCAGACAGTGCCCATTTGACCTAGCCTCGATGGCTTGATAATCAGAACTCGACTAGAGGAAGATTAAAAAAAGAAAAAAAAATTTTCTTTTGGATAAAGGAAACACGGGTAAATTGCTACAATTTGATGAACCTGATCTATACTCATGGAAGTAGTAACTCTAAATACTAACAGAGAGGGAAGGAGTCTTTACATCAAGTATCAACGCTATTCCCTCTGTACACAGGTTATTTAGGGATGCGCAATTTAGACATTGGCTACCTAAAATGAGGGGGCTGATAAAGGCACGAAGTGACTGGCTTACAAGGTTTCAAGAGGGAGTTTAGTTTAAGAGTGTGTGGGCAAAGAAAGAGTCCCCACTGAATAATTTTCATATCGTCTTCATGGGTCTCATGAAAAGAGATGGGGATAAGATTTGTATAATTCCATAGTGCATACAGGTTGACCATACTTGTTCAACCTGTATGCTGAGCAAATAATACGAGAAGCTGGGTTCTATGAAGAAAAACGTGGCATCAGGATTGGAGGAAG